GGTAATGGCATTATATCGCCAGCGCTGCGTGTCTGGGGAAGGATGAGAGGGAAGCCTGTGCGCCCACTGGCCTGTTAGTCAGTGGCATGGGGCCCTTGGTGCTAATGCGGCACAAGGCCAGGGGAATATTGCACAGCTGGTTAAGGAAAAAAAAAAAAAAGAAAAACACATGCCCACGCTCGCAGCATTATGTTGGTACAAAAATAGCGTGTAGAGAAAAGAAAAAGGAAGTTCCTTTACCTTTTTGGAGCCTGTGCGGTGGCGCGCCAGCAGCCGATCCTCCTTTGCCACCTCACCCGACCTCGCCACACGGTCAGGAGATCTTAATCCACCACCTTCTTCAGATCTTCCCTCCGGGCTCGCTTTTTTGACTGCTTTCCCACTGCTAATCTCCATCCTGACTCTCTTTGACCATATCAAATTAAGAACTCGGAGGGTGGCAAAAAAAGGGGTAAGATAAATATACTAAACAAAATGGCTTTGGCAATCTGCGCTCCTTCTGCCCATGGCCGCTGACCCTCCTTTTCTTCTTAGTAGGACCTGTTGCTGGTCACTGATGCCTCAAGTGCAGCGTAAGCTTCTTGAGCAAAGGCTTTGTCACCTCAGTGTCTGCAAAGCACCCTGCCAGACATGGAAGGAATGATTTGATGCCAGTCCCACTGACTTAAGCAGAGTTTTAGGTCTTGTGTAAAAGGTGAGCCTGTATAAAAGAGCCTGTACAAAAGGTGAGCAATAATTTTCTACCAGCAATGCGAGAGAAGAGAGAGCACCATTCTGTAATGAAAGGCTTGTGAGCAAAGTAAAATGTTCTTCGCAGCGTAAATGGGGGGGGAGGGGGGAAATGACCTGCATTGATAGTGTTTCCAAGTTTCACACATCTTTATTAACGAATTTCAAGAACAAGACAAAAATTTTGTTATAATTTGCTTGCTGATTACACTTGGAAGCTGCTAGGTCTACCAAATAAAGTAGCTTGTTTTGTTATTACAATGGTTTATTTCGTAATGTTGAATCAGGTCTAGTTCAGTGCATTTTCTAAAGCAATGCGTAAACTTGTTACAGAATGTGAAAAGCCAGCTGGCAAACTCCTTTTTCAAAATACAGCTTCCAGGTTTCCCAGGAATCTCTCTTCTTTGATATGTGTGGAAACCAGGCCAAACATAATTTCAGTATGTTTTTAGAGTGTTTTCCAATTAACCAAACTATAATAATGCATTTATAGATGGTTTGGGGCTGTCTGGATTCGTAGATGGGTTTGATTCTTTAATGCAGGAACGTAACACAACACCACACCATCCTGAAATGCAGGATGTTACATTTCTTAACAATGTCTTTCCCTTTTTTTAAGATAAAGCAAAATAAATTGTCCTGAAACAATGGCATTCACATTCTGCTATATGCACTGATTGATTTAAATTGCATTTTAAATCTTCTCCTTATAGCTAAGACATATGAATAGCTGATGTGGAGGAAGCACTTTAGTAAATATGTCAACCACTGAGCTACTAGGATCTTTACCTCATGCTCTTTATCACTGCTGATGTATACTAGGTACTTCAATGTATATACATTACTGAACACACAATTATGCAAGGTAATATGTAGAAATGCTAAAATGCTTAGACTGGTAAGAATATTTTCATATGAGTGCTGAATAAATAATGACATCATAAAAATGGGTCCATGTGTAGAAAAAGTTACAGCGCATTCACAAACTCATGGTCCTGAAAAGAAAAAAAAGATTATTTCCAGTTTTCTGGGAAGTAAACTAGTTGGGATATTTTGATTATAAATGTGCATCCCTCATAACTGGTCTGTATTATTTATTGGATCCCATTGTTTAAAAAAATAAGCATTTAAAGCTTGTGTTGCTACATAACACATTTAAATAGTTTTGAGTTTAACTCACTACACATTTCTATAACACTTGAGAGGCTGGCCATGTTCCTCCTTTATTTCCTATAAAGCAAATATAAGTGTTTTATATTGCCTCACTGATACTTACTCCAGATTTAGATCTTGTTGTTCTTCTTCAAATGAATCAACAGATGTGGTTTCTCTTGTTAAACCGCATACGAAAATTCTTTTAATTTTTTGTGTGTATAATTTCAAATGGATAATTTGTGACCCGTGTTTTTTTTCTTTTCACGTTGTTTGTTTGCCTATTAGCTTCACTACATTTAGCTGCATATCGTGACACCCTTATCTTTGACCTTCTCTGTCTCTTGACCCTAGCCCTCTTGAGTCCTGACTTCAAGTGCTTGGTAAAGTTAGATTTTCCCTGAGCAACATTCACTTGAACATCAGCCTGTGAATAGCTGTCTGTTACATCTAACTAAATGGGGACCTTTTTATGACCCATTTCTCACGCTGCTTGTAAACTTGTGTACCACAGGCAACCTTGCCTTAAAGAGTCGATAACCTAAAGTCTCTTTCTTTTCTTTTGCTTTAACATCAATGGTCTCTTCTGCCAAAACTCAAAGCACAATGTATCAGCAATCCTCCCTCCAGCCAAAGAAGGCTAGACACAGCTTGCTGTGGAGCCTGTCAACTCCATTGGATGTGTCAGCCTGAGGGAATCAAATGAGAGCAATGAAACGTGTTTTCTACCTCCAGAGACTGTAGCCTCTGGCACCTACTGGTACAGGAGTGAAGGAGGAGCAGTAGCACAGCTGGCCTGGCTCAAGTCCCATGGTTTTACTCTTAATAGCAAACGTTTCTCGTGCAGACTTGTTCCAGCTTATTTTACAACTCATTTAGAAACTGCAGCGTTAAAACTACTTTAATTTTAGTACTCATTTCAATCCCTTTTTCACGTTACAGAGCTGATCCAGCAGTCATTAAAGGGCAGCATTTTATTGCTTACAGGGATCTGAATTCAAAGATATCCTGGCTTCACGCCTCAGTAATGGTTCTTGAGCTTGGCAAAAGCATTAGCTGTTATCATCTTAAACTAGTCTGTCCCTCTAATACAATTTCATTCTGAATTGCAGAGAAGCCTATGTAGTGTAGTTCATCTTTCTAACCGTAAAAGAGGTCATAAAATGAATATGAAATGTGGATAGACAGGTCCAACTCTCAGCCCACCATCCACTTTTTTGTGCATTGTGCATTATCTCTTAGGGCAAAACAGCATGAAAAGTGACTGCTGCCTTTGAGAACTTCATCTTTTACCCACCCAAGGCCAGGCAAGTAGTGCAGAGCTTTCCATAACCTAGGACTGTCAGCCTCCGTGGCAACCCAGGGTGATCTTGAAACTCCAAAGTGTCTCAGATCAGACCCCTTTTGAAATCAGCATCTTGGCCTTTCTGTCATTCCTCCCTCTCTAAAGTGAAAATAATAAGAGATTCATAACCGTAGTTTGATACCTGCTAATCACAAATTTATTTTTATCATAAAAGCATAAGATATTTTTCAAACAGCATAGAATTCAGGTTCAGAAACAGAACAAAGTGTCTCAAATATGTGAAGCTGATGCAAGGGTGACAGTGGCTAACTTCATTTCTTAAATTAGAAAAAGGAAAGTAGGAGAGCATGTGTCATTTTGATCTAATTTTGACCTAATGTTTGCCTGGAGAGCACAGTGAAACCACAGCTGCTCATCCTTTAGCAAAGAAGCATACAACCAACTTGTAGCTATAAACAATAGTGATCTCTGAGCACTACTTTGTGATATTTGTGCAACTCTACATGCTTCTTCGTTACCAGTCTACGCAGCTGTTCATAATGTAGAAATAATCTCTTTTCTGTTTTTAAAGGTGTGTAAGATTTGCACACTGCAGTAGCAAAATTGTGCAAAGCTGGCATAAATAATCTGTTATGACAACCCCTCAGGGAGTAACTCCTGTTGGCAGGATGTGTGTAATCCCGGCATGGTCTGATGCATTGGTAACTGCACCGTATCAATGGAAACACGAGCTTGGCCTTGGGTATCTCACGGCTCGGGTTGGCGGGCTCAGCTGTGTTGGCAAGGTAATGCAGTTCAACTTCAAAAGGGAAGGAGAAAAGGCTAATAGTCACCATAGAGGGCCATCTGCTAGATGGCCAAAACTCTATGATGTATTAAGAAAAAGTTTTGTAAGAGGCATGAGGAACTTTCTGTTAAATGAAACTTTTGTAATTTATATTTCTTTCTTTGCTCTGCGTGCCGTCTGTAACAATAACCTGCTATCACACTTGGTGCTATACACATACCTCAATAACAAATCACACTTTGGTGATGCTGACTTTAACAGACACATAGCCATTTGGAAGGGAAGGCTCATTAAGGGAGTGGAAATTAGCCACACTGTTGGAAGGAGATTGTCCTTTACCTTTGGAATCCAAATGTGAGCAGCTCTCCCTCTTCCCTGGCAGTCCTGGCAGTCCTTCAGGAGGTGGACAGCCAGAGGTCTGTTTCAACAGCCCTGTAGGTCAGAGTGAAAATGTTCAAACAAGTTCAAGTTTTGTATGTCTAGGTCAACACAGAAGCAGATTTTTTTCATCTGGCAACATTGTGGTAAAGGAACCTCTAAAAATTGTTCTTGCTCTAGTAATAATGATCTATCAGTGCAGTTTGCCACAGTGTCTGTCATCTGTGCTGATATCTGTATCATGGCTGTTTTCAATAGAAGTATGATAATGTAATAGAGTCATGTTTTGGAAAAAAGAAGTATGTAAAACTGCTGTGTTTTATAGTATAAATATTGAAAGAGACATTATTAATAGCTTGAAATACACTGTACCGGTAGCTCTAACAGTGTTGAGGACAGACTGGGAAGGGGACTATATGATCAAAGGGGAAACAACTTTGGCACCCAGCTGCAGGAAAAGACATTAGTGTCATTTGCATAGATCATATATTCTTTCTCATTATCAGGAGCTCATTTGCTATAGATACCGGAGTAGCTGGCTCTGGACAGATAGCCTGTTACCTGCTTTCTTGCTTACTGGTGGGATCTGAGAAGAAGTTGCATATTCCTCTGTAGTATGCATCTGGCCTTTGCCAATTTCTTGGGTCACCAGAGCAGTTTTTGGTGATGGCTCTCTGTCACAGAGATGCACAGAATTATTTTTGTGAAGTGGGATTCATACTCAAGATACTGCGTCATATCAGCTTTTTTACCTGGCGTTTTATCCATTAACCCTCCAGGAACTGCAATGCAAATGTCCTTGTTCTTGTTTTCATGTTTTGTTAAACAAAGTAATAGCAGATGGGAAGCCTTCACTGGTACAGCTTGATAATATACCTATACTAAACACAGACCAGACTTTGATTCTTTACCCTTTTTCAATGAGTGCCCCTTCCCTCCTGACAACCCACAGGATTAAGAATAATGCTCCAAAGTAGTTACATATACAAACCTACATTTATCCACAAGCTACAAAAATTGTTAGATATTACTGTCCCAGCTACA